AAATAAAATACAAACTATTTATAAAATAAAATAAAACTATTTATAAAATAAAATACAAACTATTTATAAAATAAAATAAAACTATTTATAAAATAAAATACAGATTATTTATAGAAAAAAATACAAACTATTTATAGAATAAAATACAAACTATTTATACAATAAAATACAGACTATATATAGAATAAAATACAAACTATTTATACAATAAAATACAGACTATTTATAGAATAAAATACTGATTATTTATAGAATAAAATACAAACTATTTATACAATAAAATACAGACTATTTATAGAATAAAATACAAACTATTTATACAATAAAATAAAATACAGATTATTTATAGAATAAAATACAAACTATTTATAGAATAAAGTACAGACTATTTATAGAATAAAATACAAACTATTTATACAATAAAATAAAATACAGATTATTTATAGAATAAAATACAAACTATTTATACAATAAAATAAAACTATTTATAAAATAAAATACAGATTATTTATAGAAAAAAATACAAACTATTTATAGAATAAAATACAGACTATATATAGAATAAAATACAAACTATTTATACAATAAAATACAGACTATTTATAGAATAAAATACTGATTATTTATAGAATAAAATACAAACTATTTATACAATAAAATACAGACTATTTATAGAATAAAATACAAACTATTTATAGAATAAAGTACAAGCTAGTTATAGAATAAAATACAAACTATTTATAGAATAAAGTACAAACTTTATTTAAATCGTTTGTTTACGTTTGACTTCTTGCGTTATTCATAGTAAACAGTTTCAAAATTCCATTTATGTCCATACTTTTTGTTAAGTAAAGTTATTTGAAAAATAAGTTAGCAAGAATTTGTCTCTGTTCACTAAGTGTGGTGAATTAGTTTATATGATATATTTATAAATAAAATATATTTGATTTCTGATGGAAAATAATGGTATGAAAGATACAATAAAAAAAAAGAGTATAAAACTGTATTTTAAATATTGTAAAATTATTGCACCTGGCCGTGAAGTGGGACAATATATTTTTTTAAAGAAGATTTTATAAAACATTTTTAATGTGTTAAGTGACGATCGGAATATATAATAAAAAATAGTAGCTTAAAAGTTTAGTTGGAAATACTCGTTTTTATATCATTAGTGTTAGCTTGCATCTTTTTTTTTTTTCGCCTATTTATTTAAAGTTTCAATTTTTAAATATGCTTAGTTACCTGTCACGAAAATTTTGTTTTAGTATAAATTTATTTGGTAATTAATTAGGTTATTATGTAAAATATGTAAATTATCATGCCTTTCAAATCTCGTTTATTACGCCATTTTTTTTATAGAAATTTCCAAATGAATACACTTAAGTGTTTACGGCATCTTTGTTAAAGTGACATCTAGTGGTAGAACGTAGTCATCGAGACTGCTGTTTACGTGAACAAAAAAAAAGGGGGTGATGAGACATGCTGCATATAAAAGTCTGCAAAATAAAAGCTCAGTATGTAGTTAAGAAACAGAATTTCTCTGAAAACTACTTTATACTAAATATACTTTATAACTAAATCGTTTTTCTCACAAATCATTATTGCTCTTATTTCAATACCTTCTCTTTCAACAGTACGAGATTGGTGATTTCAGTAAAACACGTGTCAGTGTGAAGGGTATTTTACAAGGATCAATGATCACTATCCATAAAAGATGATGATGGTTCAGTAGCTTGATATGACGATTGAAGATGACGTAAAATATATTGAACACCTTCTGTGGCAGTTTTTTGGAACACCCTATACCACATCCAAATTTTCCCGCATTAAACTAATGGTTCTCAGCGTGCTTCTGGTGATATTTATTTTTGTTTGTCTGTTATGGATTTCGCGCAAAGCTAAACGAGGGCTATCTGCGCTAGCCGTCCCTAATTTAGCAGTGTAAGACTAGAGGGAAGGCAGCTAG